CTTCCAAGTCTATTTGAAACTATCAGGCCGTGCAAACACTTAAAATACATAGCTTTTAGCGCGGTTTTCATTGACTTGCGAACAAAATGTCATTGTTAAAGTTTAATGATGATTTAATGTGATTATGAAAGATATTTTGTTTACGGGAAGCAGTGAGTTTTGAGAGGACAAATTTTGCACTCTAATGTTCAATAAGGATGTAGTTCGTTATAGCGCTAACAAATTGAAGGTAAACAGCAAATATTAAAAGACGATCTATTTCCTTAAACTAACTGTCGCTCTATATTTCCTTTTTAAAGATTCACATCCTGTAAACAAGTTGACAAGGAAGGCTCTTTTAACTATTAACAAATTGAATTCAGCCGCAAGTTCAATCACAGAACTATTTACATAGTTCAATCATAGAACTATTTCATAACGTACACGCCTTGTCAGTGTCGTGCAGTTTATGGGAATGCATCTCCATTTTGGATAGAAGAAATGGTCGGATGTTGAGACCTGGAATTCCTCAGTTGGTTTCTGACCTTCATATTTAGCTGCCCTTTTTGAGATAAATTATTAATCTCTCGACGAAATTGACACTCAATTTTGACATGTGTTTCCCGTCTGAGTGAATTAATGGAGGAGTGTAAACATTACATTGTAATATTATGCTTATTTTACTGAAAAAATATACATTCATATTTTATGTGCAGTATTTCTTATATTTTTTTTGTGTTTTTTGTTTTTTGACTAGATAATACGTACTTTTAAACACATGATGCGTTGGCAGACCGAAAAAATGAATTCTCCATTATAATTGACGATTATCTCACGTGACCAGTTTGAAGGATAGTTTTATTCATGTGATATTGAATCTTTTTAAAAGAAAAATAGTTTTTAGGTAATAAATTCAAAACTCAAGATGCCACATGATCATGATCATTTTTTCACTGATCACTGATCTCCCCCAGGCCATCGGGCGATAACAGAAATACCACACTAGTACAGAACCGCATTTCAAGAGGCATGAAATTGAATAAAAATCTTTGCAAAGTACACCCAGAGTACTTCCTCTACCTTCAGAGTATAATAATCGTATTATAACACGTATAAATCAATGAACACGTGATGTTAAGCTGTTGTTCCTCAACAGCCAAGTTGAAGTTTATGAACCGTTTTGTATGTTTGTACCTGTTCAATATTGACTAACAAGCACTTCCCCTACAAATTGCCCTACTCTCTACCTATGGTGGCCAAACATGCCTCTCCACCCATCCAGACTAGTATCCAAAACTAAGCCTATAAAACGCGCGACTTTTCCTGAGTTCCCGCATTCAGTGTATCTCAAACCAAAGAGAAATCAAGCCAGAAAAGCGTTACTCTACTGACGGACGTAAGATGAAGACCCTAGTGATTCTTGCAGCTTTGACTTTAGTCGCGGTGTGGACCGTTGAAGGTAATTAGCGCTCTTTAATTTTGAAGACGAAAGTTTTTCCTTTGTGTTGTGTTGTTTCTACACTGGTTCCAGAGGTTTACTATTTTCTCTCTTCGCTATTGTGTTTGTCCGCGCGAAGCTCCGTAATCGAGGCCGTAAGATAAAATATCAAACCTCTGGAACCAGGGTATGTTAATTGAATTACTTTATTTTTATGTTAATAAAAGTTTCTTGATAATTCCAAAGGACAAAGAGCTAGAGATTCTGTTGTTCTTCGCGTGTTCAACAAAGATTTGACAATTTCTTCTGCTAAGATGCACGCCATCCTCAAAAAGGCCAACCTTGAATCCCACGGGTTCAAGAAGGAGGTCATCACTAAACTAGTCCGTCATCCAATCAGCAAAAAAGCTGAGTACACCAAGACCTACTACTACTACAAGACGGTGACTTGTGACAAGGTTCTAGAAGTTGAGCAGGAACTGGAWAAGCTTCTTGGAGGTAATTTGTTGGTTGTTTTGTACACTTGTACAGGAAAATATAATGTGAGGCTAACATCCAAATGAAAATGTGTTTAAGAAACTTCAAAATAGCACTTTTGAATATCAATTGTAATGTCGTTTTATCCAGTATATTGTGTCTTTTTTTGTTTGAGGTGAATTCAGCAAAATTTTCTAATATTTTTTGACCATATTTGCCTAAATTCAAATGAACAAAGCTATAACAGCTGAAAAACTGAACTGAGTCCCGTTATTTTTGATATGTTACGCGCGCTCGGATTGGCTGACGACCGTGTCTCTGTCCTCTGAAATAAACACGGTCGTTAGCCAATCAGAGCCCGCGTTATATATCGGGAAGCAAGAGAAACACTCGCCACGCTCGTGTTTCTAAGCTTGCTTCTCTCGTGTTTTTCAAATCCCACCGTGATTATATCAGAGGACAGAGACACGCGCGCCGTCAGTTTATATTTCTTAATAAATTTTAATGCATGTTATGCCGGATTGAAAACCACCGAATGAATGTCCATGCGCTGCGCATAGCTTCATAAACATTTAAATATCATCCTGTTTACTTCAGGTAATCTACTTGGAGCGAGCGTTTATCGAAGGGCCCAGAGAGACTTCAAGAAAATGGGCGACCCAACAAAAACCTGTAAATCCGGACTCGAAGTTCATTTCAGAAACCAGCAGCATTGTGGGAAAATGGCGGACGACGAAAACCACGACAAACGTAGTGCAGAACCTTGTTGGTTATGTGTGGCATGCTGGCGTGCAGTTAAATATTAATCATTGCAAAGCCTTAGGTGCAAAATGGCTAAATCAGAACATAAATTACAATAAAGGAACTTATTAGTCTGAATGGAAAACCCGTGTGAGGTTTGTTTACTTTGTCCGCGGTGTCAATATAAGCTACTGAATAACACTGAAACCACCGGCGAAACGTCTGTATTAAACATCGTATCTACTTAAGTCCACTCTTCCTTACAATATATTTCGAGGCATGGCTACACATCTTTCTTCAAATTACAGGATTATATAATAAAATCCATTCAAAAATTTGAATGTGGCCCGTGTGACGCAGGCTATATTGGTTTAGAGGAGAGGAGCTCCTCTCCCCCCCCCCCCCCCCCCCATTCCTTCTCGGCCCCCCAGTAGGAACGCCTGTAAGCAGGCTAATATTGGTTTTGCACGGAGACATTTTATATCGGATAATTTTCGGTTTGTTAGGTTTCTCGGTCAAACTAGAGTCGGACCTGTGAGCAAAAAAAATATTGTGGCCTAAAATCTGAATGCCACTTGGCCAAGTTTCGCACGGTCTTCCTGAAAATAAAAAAAAATCCCAGCGAGGTCGGAAATTAATTTTTCCGAATTTATTCCTAAGGGACTTCTCCCGGAATTGCCTCCTTCTAAGCACTATAACTTTCTTTCATTTCTATATCGTGTTTAGTGTTATATAACTATATATATATATATATATATAAAATAAAATAGAAAATTACAGAACAAACTACTGTATTTCCAGTAGTTTGTTCTGTAATTTTCTATTTTATTTAATACAGCTCCGACTTTTATATTGTTGTTGAGCACTTTTTTAGTTTTTTGATGAAATTTTTCATATATATATATATATATATATATATATACAGCCTTTTGCAAAAATTATGAGAATTGTTGAAATATCTAAATATCATAATATCAATTGCATGATGGGTAATCCCACGCGATTCCCGTTTGTCCTTTGTCTTTGTAGTTTAGTTTTTTTCGGCGGTGACGGACTTATCCGTAGTTCTGAACATTTTCTCGATGTCAACAATGAATTATTCTAGCAAACCCGCGTGTTCTGGACAATATATGGATATGGATATTATGATATTTAGATATTTAGACAATTCTCATAATTTTCGCAAAAGGCTGTATATATATATATATATATATATTTGATGTGCACTTTATCTCTTATACATGCATTTGTTTTGATTTCAAATGAAATGTATACACTCTCTAGCCCTAATTTTCTGTGGTTACTGCTTTCAGGTGGCTTTGTTGCAAACTTCTGACTTTTTTGCGTGCATGTGAAAGTGAAAACATAACTGCTTGGCATATAAACGATTACTTGTATAGCAATAAAATATGTATATTTGAATAAAACGTAATGAGAGGTATTCGTCCCTCTAAGCAAAATAACTGTGAATGAATCATTCTGTTTAGATCATACATTATTTTGTGTTTTTTTTCTTCAAAAAGCTTTGTTGTTTCAATTCTAGACAAATCGATCACTTGAGTTTGCATTTTTAGCTGACCTTGACCTCATTTTCTAAATGCTTAGTACGTAGAAAAATCATTTTTTGCAGCAGTCAAGAATAACTAACATAGTAAGTATTGTAGTGTAATAAAATACAATAAGATGGCTGTTGAAAGTTTGTTGATGAATTGCGGTTCAAACATGGTTCAGAAGTTTGTTGATGAAGTGTGGTTCAAACGTGAAGGTCGAAATTCAAAATGGAGGACGTTCATTGAATTGAATCATTGACGTATTCCAATGTCGTGTTCATTACACCGATACGATTTAGCATAAATTTAGCAATAGCAGAAACAAAGAAACACAAAATCTATACTTTCAATAAATTATTTTATTAAATGTCTTATTTATCATAAATATATTATATTAAACTGCTTGTTTAGTAATAACTTCCTAAAAATTTATAAACTATAATTACGATATTTATAAAAGTATAAATCAAATTGAGAGACGTCACAGCATAAAAGCTGTGAAAGAATTCAATCTTATAACTTCAGCTCGATTTAACTTGTGTACGAAGTAAGACCAAATGTTTCGGCCAAGTCTTTTAGCGCGGCTTTCATTGATTTGCGAACAGAATGTCATTTTCAAAGTTTAAGTTTTTTAAATCTGTAATTATGAAAGATATTTTAAAATTATTCAATAAATATGTGTATAAAAACATCAAATAGCAATAATAAATTAAAGAAAACAAACAAACAAAATAAGCGAGCAAAAACAACCCGAAATACCTAACAAGAGCCAATCTCACCACCTACTACAAATGTGCAATAGCATCGTAAACTAATTACATAAAAAANGCTTCCACGAATAACTGACTTGTAAAGAACGTTAAGTAGTATCCCCCGTAGAAACCATGCCACACGGCAGACAACACAAAGACGCCCATTGTACGATGGTTTGTCAGTCGGTCATAAGCTGTCCTTCGAAGCCACCATACGGTCGTTATGTTCCAGTTTTCTAACACCATTTTGCAATTAAGCCCAAACTGAAACGATAAATTGAGATTAAGGTCAAGAAGACTGCGTCACTGGTTTCTAACAAAGCTGCAATCTTGGGGGTTGCACGTTGGGTCGTAGTCACCATGTTGGGTGAAGATAACAAAGCATTCATACCAATTAGCTTTTCTTCTTCATTCATCCATCATGGCGGCAAAAGCTTGGTTCATTTTTATCCGGGGATTCGTCATCATGCATGTTGTTAACTTGTGTCACCGCCGCCATATTGGATGAAGAAAACAAAGCATTGCTCTCGGTCATTCAGCCAACAAGGYGGCGATCGATAGCTATTCGACGAAATACTGTTTAACAGTAAAACCTTCATTTACCTCAATTTTAAAAATATTGACATTCGCCATGCTATCCCATAAAGCATTGCCGTCTTTGTCATATCCTGAGAACCCTAGACCGCATAGATTATTGACTGCCTCGCCTATAAAATATATACAATTAAATGCTGATTTATTAACTTGAATATGTAGACCACGTTGCACTAGAAAATACATGAGGTGGAAACGATGGAGGKTTATAGGGCTTGGAAAGGAGGATATTCCAGGCGACCCTTGGAAATTTATTTGGAAAACTTAATATCCGACCTCGCTAGGATTTCGATAAAATTAGTTGCATTTGTTGAGGGGAGAGGGGTAATTTTTTTTGGAGGGGGGGGAGGGTTGGCGGAGTTGTCGAATTACCTGCTTTGAAGGCAAAATAGTATTGCATTCGTAAAATTGCAATGGAAATCCAAGCATACAAGAGTCTCCTTACGAATGATTGATTGTTAATAAAGGATTCGTCTAAAAAAAAAAATTAAATTTTTATTAAAGTTCCATCCAAGATTGATTTATAAAAAAATCTTTTTTGAAAGGTGCTTTAATTAGGATGGTTCATAATCAAAGATGGCGAGTTGATGATGATGATGATGGTGCTGATTTCAGATGGTCAATAAATCCTTGGCTGCATGTACTCACCTACATTGCGTGATATCGAGAATCTCGATGAAAAATTCAAAAATAATACTAAACAAATTAAACTTGCTAGTGATTTCCTTAATACTGGTGTCTGGAATAAAAAGAGAAACATCATGTTATGAAACTGAATATTCAGTGAGTATTGTGCCAATACAGTCAACTTACAAAATTAGATTCTTCTCGTTTGTTTTTCTGAAAATGAAACAGAATAATATCAGGATTCACAGCTTCAATCTCCGTAGAATTCGGGAGATTCGGCGCCGTATTCAGCGCCAGATCAAGCAATTTTCAAAAGTGGGGACCGTCGGCAAAAATGGCGGAAACTTTTTGCGGGAGTTTGCCCTACTTCATCAACTTACTTATCTTCAATCGAAAATGCAAATAATAAATAAAAAGCGACGACAATCAAATGTGTTTTGAGGGGTACTTCATTTTTCGATGTTTTATTGTTGTATTTAAAAAAAAATTTAGAGTTAAACAAAAAAAAAATTAGCAAGAAAAGGGGGCGACGACCCCTCCCCCTCCCCCTCCCCCTACACCATTGTGTACGTGATATGTACACACCTCTGTACCGTTGATGAAGTCTTTATATTGTCTGTAAGTAGATACTGGACCTGATAGCAGCATAGTGTAGTGTAAACAGTAGCCAAAATATTCTAATGGACGGGGGACTTCTCTGAAACATGATTCAATCAATCGATCAAACAACTAATTAAAAAGACCATTAAATAAACCATCCCCTTCCCCTTCCACCCTAAGCTTTCAAAAACAACAACAACAACAACAACAACAACAACAACAACAACAACAACAACAACAACTGGACAGCAAATTACTTAAGTTGTTCTTCTTTTTGGTCCGGTGTAAGGTCTTCTTCTTTCTCGTCTTTTCCTGTCAAAATTTAAAAAAATGTGATAACTTAACTACAATAGCTTTTTCTCATAGCAACATAACTATCATAGCAACAATTGTCATGGTAACTCACCATCATGAACACTAAAGGCTATGTATGTTACTTTCTGTACTAGAATCATAAGAGGTCTAAAAATGTAAAATAATAGTAAATAATTGATTAATTATTATATTTATAATTGATTATTAATTATATTTATAATTAATTATTAATTATATTTATAACTAATTATTGATAATATTATATTGCGGAAAGATTCCAAAGATATTGACCAATCCTGCCATCCCTAATGTCCCTCTCAATACTAAATGCATGACAGTAAAAATTGTGAGAGAGCAATCTATATATACTATTAAAATACCGTGTTTCCATGCAAATGTGTCACTTAATGCAACAAAAGGATATATATGTGCGAACTGAAACCCTCACCCTGTATAATCAAGTTTGTAACTGCCATAGTCGTAGATCTGTCGCATCAGATGAGATGTTGATAATATTGCTAGAGAGACAACGAGCACAACTCTGTAATGGAAAATGAATAAAATTATAATATCAACACAATAATAATTAATGACTCAAAGTAGACAAGGCGTTGTAAAAAAAAATCAATTTTCGTTCTTTTACTATTATAATTATAGGTTTAGAAGTTTTAGTTTTTTAATCATGCAGTTAAAATTCTATCATTGTTTTGATTGCAAAGAATCATTTTCTTAAAAAATGTAGCAAAAGTCTAGACAAAGTTTTTGTAAATTATAAACCAGGCAGTGAGCAAGCACCCTGTGCCCCCCCTTATATTACGCCCCTTTAACTTAGTAGCTGTATGTCACAACCATGGTGTTATAGTAAATTATATAGGCATAATTATTAGAGACAGCTAGCCAAGACAGGTTGAGTGGATATGAATAAAAAGATTAATGTTGATGAGATCAATGAACAATATCATGCATATTATAATTATTCTTTGATATGATGCACAAAATCATGAATAAGAAGCAAAGAGATGACCATTTATGTTTCCTTTGGATTTCCTGTGTACAGAAGAATGGGGACTGGACTTGATGGAAAGGTAAAATCCTTCTGCTTTCAGATGTATTCCAAACTAAGCACCCATTGAGAGTAGGTGTCCATGACTGGCTGATTCCAGGGCTATCTCTGGCCGTCATTTTGAAAAAAAGAGAGCAGTCAAGAAGCCCTGGGAACGAGGTTGTTCTGCTTCCCCACCCAAGTTAGCTTTTGTCTCAACACAGGAAACCCAAAGTATAAAATAGAAAAGATTTTACTTGACGACCATGCTGCACAAGGTTAGGATGAGAGTGATGTTAACAGACGGTTTTAAAAGAAGAAATCCTCTGAGTTTTGAGAAGGCCTTTTTAAAATAATTTAAATTGAATTTTACCTGTGGGTATATTTAGGGTGTACGTATACGGTCAATAAATAACATAAAGTTGTTGTTCCGATGATATTGAACAACTGCCTGTAGAAACAACACAACATTACAATCATATGCTATATACATCTACAAGCTCAAAGCTGGTTGCCCAGTTGAAAAAGATGTGTAT